CAGCCTGGTACTTCTGGACCTGAGAGTCTGTACAACCTGAGACTGCAGTTCCCCTCTGGCCCTTCTGGGGTAGCTTGTCCTAGCCCCTGAGGCTGACCAGCTTGGAGCTTCATGCAATCTCAGGTAGGAAGTGTTGGAAGATGGCTTCTACTGTATTTCCAGTCTTGCAGACCCAGACTCTTAAAGGCTGAGCACCACAGCTGGCGACCCACACTGTCACCAAGATCTTCCCTGCCCTTCGCTTGCTATTGGCAATAGCTTGGAGGCCCTGTGCTCCCAGGACATCTCCAAGTCTTTCCCCAGGCTTCAGTATCTGAGGGAATGGGGGAAGGGTGGATTGGCACAGCCCCAGGCCTTGCTGCATCGCAGGGCTGCCCAGTCTATGGGAGCTGAAGCTGCAGACACTGAAGTCCCACGTTTGGCCCTGCCCAGTGTGGCTTGATTTGCCAGTGGGTGAGCTGCCCTGGGCTTTAGGGGCTGCCTCTGGTCAAAATAGGATTGGAGAGACAGCCTGCTGCTGCTTTGCAGGGCCTGGGAAGTCTCCAGGTCTTAGTGCTAGACTGGATGGCAGCCTCCAGGAGCACAGTTCCCTGATGTCCAGTCCCTGTGTATTTGGGAGGCATCCTTGGCTTGCCAGTGTGCCAATGCCTGGGTGGGGCCCTGTCTAGAGTGGTCCCCCAGAACATACATGCAAGCACTGTTCCCCCAGTTGTGCCAGCCAGAAGCTAGGAGCCACCCCAAGAATCCCCTTTTCCCATTTCTCTGGAGCCACTGTCCCAAGGCTTTGGCGTTGGAACTCTGGGCAGCTCTGCCTTGTTGCTTCTGCTGATCTGGCCCCTCCTACAGGAAGCCAGGAACTCCTGGATCCTTTATCTTGAGGCCTTGTTTAGGGCTTGGTTTCATGGTCTGAGGGGTCAAAGGGAGGGCAAGAGGTTCCTGTATGACACGTTTGTATCCCACTGCAGGCAAGACTAGGGATGGGTGGTGTGGGTGCAGCTCGCTGTTTCCCTGAGCAGGATTTTCAGCCAGGCAAAGATATGGCTGAGAATGTGACAGAAAGCATGGCAAGCGGCTGGGACATGCTCGCATGCCGAGTCACCAGGCCCTGCACACCCCATGTT